CCGCCGGCCATAACAGTCATGGGTTCGTAACAGTCATAGAAGGGCTCAATGATAATGACTTCGTCGCCCGGGTTCACGAGACCCATGAAGGCACAGAACAGGGCCTCATAGGCGCCGACAGTCACCAGCACCTCCTTCTGGGCATTAATCTCACGGCCGACCAGCTTTGAGTACAGTTTGCTTAAGGCGTTCACGAGTCTCAGGTGTCCCTAAATCGGTGGCCAGTAATGATAATCAATGTATAGGACAGGCATTTAGGCGCTGGATATATATGCTAGTGATCTACAGGGAGTGCTATTGTCTATTGAATGCGAGTGTAATGTCTTACGAATCCGCGGGTGTATTGGTTGAGGAGGACGTCTTGGCTGAGAGTGGCGTCGGACAGGGCTTTGCACACGTGCTGAGGGGCAGCGAAGTCTGGAAAGCCTTGTCCTAAATTCAGTGGTTTATAGTCCTGAGCCAATTGAATGAATTCAACCCTTTATACGACAAACAAAACGCATTAAAAATGTTTGATAATGTAATTCATAGCAAAACTAAATGAAAAAAGTTTTTTGTGTTGTTTTTTGTGGCTTATTCTAGTGATTCATTTGACAGGTATTACCGCGAATGACATCAAATGAATTTGAAATTAACATTTTTCTCGCTGTTTCTTATGAAACATATGGCAAAAATAAAACACATTTTTATGTAACGAATAAATTTCTTGGTAAATGACATTATAAAAGGGTTTTAATAATTATTTCTAATATATTCATACGATTAGGAGTGCCTCTCATAGCGCAGTGTGTTATCTAATTATAAGTCGTGATTACATTTAAACAAATATTATAAGTACTGTATATTCATAATGAATGGGGTTTTAAACGCAAATAAAAAAAGAGTTTGTGTTTTGTTTGAATGGATATCTTGTGGCAAATGTCTTACCAAACGCTGGGTTCGGTGTCTTTGATGCGATCGGCGGCCACTCCCGAAGACATACTTCTTATCTGACAATTGGTTTCAATGAGAAATTTGTCACAAAATGTTTTATTATTAAGGATTGAGATTTGGTTTAAGATTTTGAGTACTTTTGTGTGAATCTAATTCATAAACCTAAATATATTCACGCAATTAGTTTGCAAATTATCATTCAAAACACATTCAATGCTAACAAATATACCGGTATTTGTGGTATTAATAAACAAAATTATAGCGACTATTCATATGATTGAGTTAATGGTCACAAAATTATTATTTAAATATAGCACATATTAAATGCATTTAAATATTATATCAAATACAAATAATTAGCAAAATATATGACATTAATATACCTGTGATTTGGCGATTGGTTTGATTGTATTACTGGCAAACAGACTGCGCTTTATATGACGACTACCGGTGCTAACAGTTATGCCAAACAATCTATTCATTAATAATTATATTTATTTTAAAAAACTTTATTTAATTAATGAATATCTGATGAGAGGTTCGCATAAACTCTAAAAAAATAGTTTTCAATGTTATGTCGAAATGAGATATGAGTCCAGATTTTGGCACAATTTTTGTCAATTTAATTGCTTTTGAAGCCAATTATTGGCCCTTTTATTAGCGCTGAGTGTTTGATATAGCGGTGACTGTATGGACACTATATACTGGAAATCGTTATTAAATATGAATTACAATTAAAACCGATATTTGAAGTTAAGGTCACTTTCGAAATGTACTGTAAATACAGAGTTAAAAGTCTAATCAAAATCATGTGTTTTGTTGGTACAGTCCACTCGCGCTATGCTATACATTATATCTGTTAAATTTACTGTAATGTCAATGATTGTGTGGGTATTATAAGATACAATTAATTATTATCACATTTAACCTGGATACATTTTGAATTAATGAGAGTAGCATGCTAATTATAAATCAAAATAATAGCTAATATATTTAACCGAGTAATGTATAAATGTGTGACACAACTGCAAAGTAGACTGTCGTCAGACATATGACAGATTATGTAACATGCTCATTGTAATGATAATAAAAACGTGCATGATCGCACTACGTAAATACGTCCTGGATCAGTCGAGAATCAGTACAATTGTCTAATGAATAAAAAAAATGTAATAAAAATCTAATTTCATTCAAAACTTTGCCCACAATTAGCGCCCGTAATAAATGCCGCTATTTATGAATGACTGCAAACTCGACGACAGTTGACTGTATTTGTTGTGATATTTAGTAAACACATTGTCATGAATTGAATGTCCACTCAATTGTTTCGTCAAATCATTCAATTGATTGCAAACTAAACCCAAAAGTAGTGCAAAACACGTGACAAATGGTTGTCAAACACTGTGTCTATAAGGACTGCGAAAGCGATTCCCGCTATTGGGACAGGGATTACATGAAAGGTATGTCCGCGAGCACTGTCAGCCCTCATCTCATACCATATATCGGTGTCCATTGTCTTCAGGCGTGTGTTTCATCCGATTCCCAAATCCGGTGACACATCGCGAGAGGTGCGAGAAGTGGGTGAAGGCCTGCGACCGACCCCTTGAGCTCACCATCGATTGTGTCACCGATAAGACCTACATCTGTTCCAAACACTTCCTCGGGGGTAACGGTCCCACCAAACAGAGTGCCGATCCCTTGCCTCTCAAACAGGTATTACTCGCAGAGAGAGAGAGAGAGAGAGAGAGAGAGAGAGCTATTGATTGACAATTGGTTTGTTTGTACAGCTCTTGGCGGCCAATCAGTTGTCAAATGCGAGCCAATCGTATGACACGACACCGGAAGCCGAAGAGCGAAACGGTTTCTTAAGAGCGGATCTGAATTGCATTCAAAACACTAATGAATCTCAATATATAACGAATATATTAAACACAAACCACTCGTATATTCGCGANCGCTGTTAATGCCGACGATGACGACAAACGTGTCTCAAATGACGCCCCAATTAGTGCCACAAAACGCCGATAACCACAACACGAGTCATCATAAGCCGCAGGAAGTGATCAACAATTCTTTGCCACTCATTATCATTCCGTCCGCCAATCAGATGATTAGCTCAACATTTTCGGGTCAGTAGTGGCGGTCGTGTGGGACAGTAGTCTCGTATTCGACTGAATGGGTGTTTGAAACGATTGTCTTTTTTTAGTACCATTTATGTCGATAAACGACGAGAAGAGTTGGTTCGCGAGAATACTGGACAACGAGTTCTGCGCGAAGGCGTCGCTGCGCGGTCTGAGCGTCGGACGGGTGGGTCGGCAGCGGTTGGCGTTGAGCGCCATCAGGGGATCGGTGGTCGAGAAGCAGCTGATTGTGGACGCGAGCGGCCATTTCGACTGCAAAGTGTTCGGCCAATCGATTAGCGCTAAAAACGGTTTCTACGGTCAGGTGCCGGCGCTGGTGGCCAATGAGCGCGAGTTCAACGCCGTGATCGAGTTGTTCGGCAAATGGCGCGTCTGCGCGGCCAATGAGGTGACGGACGGCCGCGTGTTTGAGGACAAAGTGATAGCCATCAGGGCTTTCGTGTGTAACATAACGAATAGCATTCGGAGTCGAAATTGTGACCTATTTTTGCCCGATTTGGGTGCCATTCGGTGCAAGTCGTGTCGGATACTACTCAATAGGATCCGCAAGTTTAGGGCCAATACGAGCGCACAATCGGTTGTCCAGTGATTGTCGGCGTAAATAGTTTTGTATTTTGTTGTAAATTTGTGAATAAAAGTGATTTTTGTATTTTATTTAATAATCATTTGGACTTTTTTATGGCTAGTAATTGGTGGTGACGTCTAGTGTTGATGTGGTTGTCTATGACAACATGTATTTTGCCGCAAGAATTGTACAGAATTTGCACAGAATATCGATATGCATATCAATAATACGATACAATACCTATAATTATCAAAGCCTTTCCTATCATTTCGTATTTACTTCTGCAGTTAGTACTGAATTCTTGTCGTTCCCTATAATATCGAATAATTTACTTTCAAACAGAATATTCTGCTCATAATTATCGGAATCTGATAATAGGAATGCATAATAAGAATAATAGTTATAATAAATTGCATTTTTATTGTCAATAATATATCAGTTGTCATACTATTAGTAAATCCGATACAACATATCCATCGAAAACATAATATAAACTTATCATTAAATTTAATTTGTTTTTGGTATCCAATGGTCGGCTCAGGGGATGGTGTGTTTGGGGGGCGACCGACGGGTGCCTATCGTTAGCTGAAGCTCTCCATCGATGTGGACATGAGTGAGTTGGAGGCCCTGCCGGATGTGGGAAGTGTGATGACCGACGAGGTGTGGAACAGTTTGTACCATCCGATCACTATATTGGATAAGTCGAGGTCGTCGATGACGATCTGCACCACTCCCATAAATGTCTTCTTATCCATTCGCCCGTAATCGCCCCAAACCATCACCTATTGGTTCCCATTCACACACACATACAACTGGTTATTATCAGTAATCTTATCGTTAATACGGTAATAATAATTGTTAGTAATATTGCTATTAAGCTATAGTTTTCTACTAATTCTGTGTACTCTTCAACATAATAGCAGTCATTATAACGTTAAGCAAGAATTTGTAACAGTTTTTGGTATGAATTAGTGAGTGATGTGTTGGATTGCTTAGAGACAGGGATTGTATGGAAAGGTGTGAACAGACCTGTAGAGTACAGCCCCGGTAGTCGTCGGTGAAGAGCAGCTGTTGCTGATAGAGTGGGTCGAGAGTCCTGCGAGCGGTGGCCGTCTTGGCCTTTGCGATGCATTTCCTCTCTCTCACGAGATATACTTTGACATAAGGCGCTGACATACGAGTGGACAGACATCTCATTAGCAATGTTAGGGTGCGTGGGAATAGGAGTGTGGTGGTAGTGGTGAGTGGGGAACGGGTGGTCACCTGGAAGTAATTTGGCCCCTTGTTTGGCCTGCAGACCCCTGGCGCGGACCACTTCGACCTCGAGGTTGCCTTTCCTGTCGCACAGACTCAGCTGTATGTCCCCCAAGTGGTGTGAGGCGAGTGCCTGCCGGCCCACTATCTGTCCGGGACCGAGACCCTCGACAAAGTTGGAGAACTCGCCCTCCGGTGCCAAACGCATCGACGGCACCCACCTGTCGGTCGGCCGGTCGTGTCGTCGGACGCAACCGAATAGAGACAAGAGATTAATGGTTGGTCTGAATGGGAGGGCAGTCTTAGAGAGAGTGAGCGGGACTTCGGTTGTGTTTTATCACATAAATCTGTTTCGGGTTTTTGTTCACTGATTTCAATGCTGTTTAGAGACAAGTCATCCATACATGGGTTGGCATTAATGGGAAGGGATGGCTGGAAAGGGCTCAAGAACTGGTTAACGGACAGGGATGGGGGCAAAGGGTTGGGTACAGACAGATAGAAACGGGAGTCCACTTACAGGGAGGACTCACTGCTAACAGAGTTCATGCTATCGTCAGTCGATTCCTTGCTGTGTTGGTGTTGTGTAACAATTAGCATGTTTTGGGGTATAGTTTTGGGTAAGACTTCTTGACTACGCTGTATACCACTACTGCCACTACGGCTAGACTTATGCCTAGATTTACTACCAATACTACCGGCCTCTGCAATGACAAGTCGTGCATAAAGAAAGCCATTGAAAAATGTTTTGTTCAGTCAATAAGCGAAATGATAATCAAAATAATAGAAACTAATTTCAAATTGAAATTAAAAATCAAGAAAAATTGTTTCCATTTCTAATGGTATACACCGTTATACACACAATACATACAATACACGCACTATTAGCAGCACTATGTTTGAGAAAATAGGAAATTAAATATAAATATATAAATAAATGACAAAAAATAATAATACAATAAATGAGAGAGAGAGAGAGAGAGTTGGCGAGAGAGTAGGAGAGAGAATATACACCAGAATCTGTGTTATTGTGTTATGCGGTCACCAACTCACCAATTCTTTGGCAACGATTCTCTCTCTCATACTCTCTCTCGCATAGACTCTAAGCACACAATTCTCTCTCGCAATTGAATGCCGTTTACTGCCATTAAATAGATATCGATTTGTAAGCCAAACGGAATACGAATGACAAATAAAACGGGTTATCATTGGCAGAGATCACTAAATCAATGCAATCGCCAAAACAAATTGTTTTCTACTATAATCTATCAAAGCGTACATAATATGGTTAAACAACTATAGACTATAACATACGACTACAGCACACAGTATTCGCACAACACTATAGACACGGCCAGAGAATACGAATGGAGAGACTATTCAGACATTAAGTATAATAATAATCGTATGAATAGAGAATCGCAACGAAAAAAGCACACAATAATCGCAATAATCGTCACAATAATGATAATATAAAATGTTTGTGTTGTCTGTGGTGTTGGTATGAATGGTCATATGGCTGATTGGTATCAGTGGTCTCGGCGGTGGCAGTGGTGGGGGCGGCGCGGGTATCACTGGCCACCCCGTGGTTGTGTGTATGGTTGGTCTAAGAGAAACAAAACAGAATATAAACCAAAGTTTAGACAATCGACTACTGATTGAATGGATTACAAATAAATAGTAATAAATAGCACCAAAACTACTATAAAACTTGTAATGCATTTGAGACTAATAATCAGTAATTAATTAAAGCGATTTGAACGGGAATTGATCGCCTAATAGCTATACAAATAGCTCTAGAGTTCTGTTTTGTTATACACAACAAAAAAGCCTAAAATAATAATTGTGTGAATGATTTGATTGTTTGGACGAAAGGCACAAAAAAGAGGTTAGGCTTCCGGCGAAAGCAGGCGACGTCTTTCAGTGTTCACCGCAGCGAAGAGGTAGTGCCCGACGAAGTGAGACATTTAGTGAAACAGTCGTCGGCCTCCAGCGACGGAGAGGGCAGTCTCTCCGATAATAGCTCCGCCACGTAAGTCATACACTACCCGTCCGTATAGACCAACCATACACACAACCACGGGGTGGCCAGTGATACCCGCGCCGCCCCCACCACTGCCACCGCCGAGACCACTGATACCAATCAGCCATATGACCATTCATACCAACACCACAGACAACACAA